TGTTAGCCCCCATGTGGGTACTGGAAACTGAACCTGGATCCCCTGAGAGAGTAATCAGTACTCTTAACTGCTGAACCATCTCTCCAGCCCCACCACATGGCCTCTCTCGCTCCTCTACCTCTGTGTGCCTAGTGGCCTCCTCTATTCCACCCTGTAAAATGGGACCCCCTTTCTGCTTCAGTCATCCTGACCGCATCAGTCACCCCTGGCATGTATATGATTTACATTGCTTTGGGAAGAGCTGAAGAGTAAGGACTTTGCTGCGTTCGTCATCGTAGGCTAGGACTGAGAGTGATACTCAGCCCACACTCTACTGTGTGCTCAGTGAATGATGCTAGTGAGTTAATGAATGCTTTTCAGAGAACACATGTCCGTGAGTGAATATGGCTGCTACCTTTGCAGATACCTTGTGTCATGGTTACCAGAAGGCTAGATCTTCCATTCAGTAGTGTGACCTTGACTAAGGGTGTTCTGTATCTGTTTCTCCCTGAGTGTAATGAGACAAGAGGATCTAACTCACAGGGTAACTTTATACAAAGAACACAGTGTTTAAGACTGTGCCTGGTCCATTGTGAAGCTCAGTGTTTTTAGCTATCATGCGATAGCTGTATACCGGAGTAGGCTTTGAAAGGGTCGCTTGGCTGCTCTGTGGACACGAATGGCAACAGAGTGAATGGCACCAAAGCCACCAGATGACATGACAGTGGTATGATGGCGACAGGACCCTGCTACACTGGGGGCTAGAAATGGGAAAGCAGTTTGGTTAGGATGTCCTCTGGAAATATTGTAGATATTGTGGTGATGTACTAGGTATGAAAGGTTTTTAGCCCAAGCTACTAGGAAACAGAGGCTTCATTTACTCTGACCAGAAAGAGGATGGACAGAGGTGCTAGTGTGCCTGTGGTATGGTGTCTACTACAGAGGACTGGGAGTTGGATTTTCAACATGCTATGGTGTGAGATGCCATAGGTCTAGAAGGCAGCTAAATACACAAGTGTGGAGTGCAGAGGTGAAGCTGGGCCACAGGCAGAGTTCACAACTGCCATCAAGAAGACAGCTCTCGTGGGACTGGATGATGGTATCCAAACGGAGTGTAGAGGGAGAGATAGCAGGGGAGAGATGGGCTGCAGACTGGGAACACGCCAAGGTCAATGGGAGAGATGGGCTGCAGACTGGGAACACGCCAAGGTCAATGGGAGAGATGGGCTGCGGACTGGGAACACGCCAAGGTCAAGGGGAGAGATGGGCTGCGGACTGGGAACACGCCAAGGTCAATGGGAGAGATGGGCTCCAGACTGGGAACACTCCAAGGTCAAGGGGAAAGAGGAGTACAAGCCGGCTGAGACAGAGAAGGAAAACAAAACCAGGGGAGGGATCCCAGATGTTCAAGGACCCAGGGAACGCAGACTATGTTCCACAAAGAGCAGTGGTCATCCCTGTGCGGCACTGAGGCTGTACAAGTGCTTAGACCTGTCAAAGCAGATGTTGTTGGGGCTGGGGAAGTAGCCCAGCAGTTTAGAGCACGGGCTGCTCTTGCAGAGGACCTGGGTTTGGTTCCCAGCACCCACATGGCGGCTAACAACCACATGTAATTCCAGTTCCAGGGGATCTGACACCCTCTTCTGTCCTATGCAGACCTTGTATGCATATAGTGCACTTACATACATGAAGGCAAAATACTCATGCACATAACATAAAAATAAACAATTAAAAAATACTAAAAACAGATGATGTTGACCTTCACAAAGTCATCTTTGTCTCCATCCCCACCGAGTGGCAGGAATGAGCCAGTCCAAGTGGTGGGACAAGGAGGAGTATTGGTGAGAAGACCACTTGTTAAGGATGCTCCCTCTAGACAGGAAAGAGGCAGTGGCTGTGGAGGGTGATCTGAGAGGAGAGTCTAGGTGTTTGCAGGGGATGACTAAGGACAGAACGAATGAACTCTCCAGACAGGGCACTCCCCAGGAGAAAGGGTGGGACCCAGCACTCCAAAGACCCAAGCTGGAGCTGGGAGAGCTCAGCCAGATTCAGGTAGGCTAGAGACCTTGAGGCTACTAGCCTTGTCTAAGGATGCCTCTGCTTCCTCCTCTGTGAGTTGAAGATACCATTGGCAGGGATAGTCTTTGGGATGATTTTGTAGAAGCCCCAGGTTTTCCAGCATCACATCCAGTCTGTGCTGAGGAGTGGGACCTTCCAGCAGTGGATCTGATTCTTTCTGGTCGTAACCGGCAATGCCTCTACCAAGACTGCATTATAGGAGCTGCTGTGGGCAGCTTGGGGTTATCTCAGCAGGGGGCGCCAAAGCCATTCCACACTCTCTGCGTGTCACCCCTGAGGATGTTCTGGAGAAGGTCATTGTCAGTGCCTGTTTCTAAGCGCTATTGATGGTCTGAGCATTAACCATGCTTGCAGCCACTCAAAGAGGCAAGCATTACTCTCAAGACTCCCTCTCCCATCCTCTAGTGGTGAATGTCCACTCTGGAGGGGGAATGTGGTGGAGGAGGTGTCTGTGAGCAGGGCTTGAGATGTGATTTCCAATCAGGCCTTTTATTTCTCAGTACAGAGTAAAGGCCACATCTGAGAACCCGTGGCCTTGGACAGCTTCCTTCTCACTCTGACCCACCTCTGCATACACTTTCTTATGCTGGACCTGGGCCTGGGAGGCCTTCAGTGATAGGAAATCAAGACAGGAGACTGTAAATAGAAGCTATAGGAGAAAAAGATCGACTTTTTGTAAGGAATACTTGTTTTTCTTTCATAGTCAAGCTCTTCCCACGTTGGGAATGGAAAATCAAAACAGAGAGGCAGCTTCGGGGGGTGGGGGGACCAAAGGCCAAGGCTACACTGCAGAAGATACAGCTGCTAGAACCACTGGGAGAGAAGGCTGGGGCCTCAGAGTGATGCACCCTTCACAATGGGAGCAGAGAGAGTGTGGGACCCTGTGACTACCATTCTGACCCTCTGGAAGACCTTCACACCAGTTGTATGGAAGCCAGAGGCAGGAGAGCCTGGAGATGCGGCTCCCTTTGAAGCAGCACTGTCAGAACAAGGGGCAAAGCTAGAGAGAACCAAGCTAATGGCAGACCGCTTTCCTGGTTAGAACGCTGGATCCCAGTGTCTGCGATTTCACTTTCCACAGCTACGGTTACCCACAGGCAACTACAATCTGAAAATATTAAACAGAAAATGCTCGACAAGGTTTTGAATGAACTGTTCTTCTGAGTAACGTGATGAGATCTATACTGTCTGTCCCGGGACACAGATCATCCTTAGTCCAGTGTATCCACACTGATGCACTACACACCACTAATCACTTTTAGCCATCTTGGTTATCAACTAGCTGGTATAACTGCTTTTCTATTATGACATTCATTTAAATTAAGTTTAAAAAGCTAGTCTTTTTCACACAGATCACACCAAGTTCTGCACGCTGGCCTTGTGATTCTTTCTTAGAGGTTTTCCCACATCAGAACATAGAAAGCTCCCTCTGCTTTAATGCCTGCATGACACCCCACCACGTGGATGACTATGATTTACTTTACTATTAGTGAAGACACCATCTGCTACCTCAGAGGATGTTGTCATGAGCATCTTGGTACACCATCAAGCTGTGAAGGCCAGGGGCTGTGGGATTCTCCAGGAAGATGTAGAAAGGGAGAAAATTTAACTCAAATGTTGAGATGAGTCAGGAATAAAAAATATGGCTCTGTCTTCAAGAGATCTAACTCCTAAAAGTATTACTGAGTCTACTTTCAGACCCCTAGCGTCTCATAATTTACAAAACACCAAGAAATTGGGAGAAGCAAAATGTTCCCCAAACTCCTTGACTTCCTAACCTTACAGCTTAAAACAAGTTTCTAACTCATCGGAGTTCCAGTTTACCTGTGCATGGCATGGGGATATGAGTACCTGCCTCTCGGGGCTGTTTCAAGTACTGAGTGGACTAATCATGTCAGTTGCCTAGACCAGGGCCTGTTATACAGAGCAAGAGTTCAGCAAATGGGAGCTGCTGGGATCATTCTGCAGGTGAGGGAAACAAAACAGTCTCTTCACTCCTGACAGAGCAGGGGCAGGAGTCCCTAAGTGAGGCATGACTCTCCCAGAATGGTTTAGGGACGCAGTCCTAAAACCAGACCTAACACACAGCAACTAAAACTAACGACCACCAGGGGAGTTTGTCTGCCTGTTTGATGGTTCTAACGCAGCTTTACATCCCAAACTGTAGCTCATTGAATCCAAGATGCTGTTAAGATATAAAGTATTATTGTTTTAGGGGGGAGAGAGAGAGAGAGAGAGAGAGAGAGAGAGAGAGAGAGAGAGCGAGAGGGGGAGAGAGAGAGAGAGATAGAGAGAGAGAGAGAGAGAGAGAGAAAAGGAAGGGAGGGAGAGAGGGAGGACAGGCCAGCCAGCGGAAGCTGTGGGACGCCCTGCTGGCTGTCTAGCTGTGGTCTCTAGGCTCCTCATTCCCTGGTTCCCTGTGTTTGTCTGACTTTCCTTGGCTATTGATTCCAGCTTCCAGCTTTTGTTCAATCCCTGGAAAGAGACCAAGTGCCCATTACGGAAGAAGTACCAAGGGTAGCACCCACCCTTAGTGCTCTGAAGCAGCTCTAGGGTCCTTCCAAGCCCCAAGGCATTACAGAGAGAGCAAATCAGTCTTCTAATGCCAGTGTGCCCAATTGTGACTTACACCTTGTCTTGAGAAACGTTGCATGGAGCTCTCAGAATTGATGCATCAGGACATCCAAAGCTGTCAAGCGGGCAGTGCTTTTGGGGGGACCCGTGGTGAACCCCGGGGCAGTGGTGCAGACTTACCTAGCTCAGGGTCACATGGCCAACAACGGAAGTGAGGGGTGGACGCATGCCCCAGATTCTCAGACTCTTCCCACTTCTTGACTCTCACCCTGCAGACCGTCTAAAGGGTCCTGGCCTGGCTTCTGGGGTGGATGGGCATTGACATGCCTGATCGTGAGCTCCCCTCATCGAATCCCTTTTTCTTCCAGGAAGTACACTTTGCTGGTCAACAATGGATTTGCGATTTCCGCTGCCTTGCTGATGGCCTGCTCACTCCAGGCAGGAACCTTTGAAATGCTCATTGTGGGCCGCTTTGTCATGGGAGTAGATGGAGGTGAGGCTACACCATGATGGGGGCGGGTATCATTCCCAGGGATTGCCTGGACTGGTGGGAGGTACATGGGGCTGGCATTGACTTGGGAAGGACCAAGATTCTAGAACCCCACATAAAGTGGGGCAGTTCCAGGGGCTGAGTCCTTCCATTTTCAATGTGGTAGCACCCTACTTGAGACACTAGGCTGGGTAAATCCAAGTCAGTGCCAACCCCTGGATGATGCCCCTTCCTCTGCCACCTTCAGTATAAAATTCATACTTCAGTGGTATCAGTGGTATCCAGAGAGTTCCCCCAAGGACTTGTTCTTCCATTTATTATCCAGCACTTAGACTATCTATGTCTTATGTTCTGTGTTCTGGGGAGGACCCCGCCCCTGTGAGCATAAGAACACAACTAATTATGTGTAAGTCCTAGGAAGAAAACAAAGCAAGGCACAGGGATAGTTGCTGGGCAGCTCCAGTTGTTGACTTGACACACATCTGGGTGGGCCTGTGGTCATGTCTGTGAGGCTTTTTCTTGATTGTTGAGTGATGTGGAAGGGCCCAGCCCACTGTGGGTGGTGGTATCCTGGATAGGTGGTCCTGGGTTGTATTAAGAAGCTGGCTGAACACAGACCAGAGGAGCAAGCCAGTAAGCAGCGTTCCTCCATGGTCTGTGCTCCAGGTTCCTTCCCTGACCTCCTACCCTGGCTCCCCCTGATGACAAGCTAAGCTATAAGGTAAAATAAACCTTTTCATCCCCACATTGGTTTTGGTCATTGTTTTATCACAGCAATAGAAAGTAACTGGAACACATAGGTTATTTTAGAAAGCCAGTCAGGAAGGACAAAGAAATGTGAGCGGAGACCAGAATGAACCAAGACTGAGAACTGACTGTCTGTGGAATCAGGAGGTGGAAGGGTGACTGGCACATCCCAGGAAGAGTGAGGCCAGACTTGGTGACGAGGTGGCCCTGGGAGCTGAGGCTGAAGGGAACTGTGGTCAGTGTACCCCCTAGCACCTGGGTAGGGAGTGCAAGGTGGATCCAGGAGTGGATCAGGGGAACCAAGGATCTGGGGAGGTATCTGGCTGTGTGCCATGAGAAAGATGTGCCAGGGGAATGACCAGACTCTGCTAAGGGAGGCTGTGGGAAGAACAGAGTGATATCAGCCCCAGGGATGTATCTCCAGGGGGTAGGGAGAGCAACCTTCCCTGCCATCTGAGCCTCTCTATCATTCATAGAGAAACCAGCCCTGACTGGGTGGTGCCAGAATGAAATCGCCTTGTGTGTGAAGTACGTGGTCCAGTGGGATCCAGGCCTGCTGGTACCCACTCCAGACACAGTGGGGGTATTCTTGTAACGAGTGCTGTTGCTGTTCCTTTAAATCTAAGCTCTTAAGGGCAAATCTAGGATTGGAACCAAGACAGAGGAAGGCTGGGTGGATGGGACACTTTGAAAGGCTCTCCCCAATAATTCTGTTATTCTACCCCCTCTGGAGGTTTTACATTTTATCCATTTGTCCACTTTTCCCCTTGATTGCCTCACTGACTGGGTGAGGTGATGCCTGTTAAACATACTTGTCGCTCTCTGAATTTCCTTCACTGGAAACGAACCATCTTCACAGATAAATGCTACTTTTTCACAGCCGCAGATTCAAACAAATGTCTTTTAGACCATTTTCCTATGAGCTATTCAGAAAGAAGCAGGAAGAAAAGGAGGAACTGGAGGGATTTAAGGCACTGTCTGACTTCTAGAGCAGGCATGCCTGCTTGGTGCTGTGCAGGGCCTGACTTCGTGCCATCCGTTCTCACAGAACCCTCAGAGAAGAGAGGAAAGTGAGGGCATTTAAGGTGAGGCAATTGCACAGAAAGAAAGAAAAATGGCTGGTCATGGGCTAGGCTGGCTGCATGCTCATAAAGAATCTGAACATTTATTTGGGGGACACAGTTCTATCTCCTACAGGAAGTGACACTGAAGTAGAAAGATTAAATGGTAGTCAACCTAGGATCTCTGAGAACCCAGTTCCAGACACACGGAAGAGAAGAGGTTGGTCTCGAAGGACACAGTGGGCCTGGACTGCTCACTAAGGCCTGAGGCTCACACATCTAGGGAAGGGTGGATGGCAGAGGATAGGGTCAGAAGTTGGGCAAGGCTGCTTCAGTGTGGGCTACTTAGTGAGTGACCAACCAGCCTGGATGGATGGCACCGGGCAAACCAGGGTGCACCAGGGGTCCAACCACAGTCTTATCAAAGAGCCCACCTCCTCCCTCCACCTCCTCCCTCACCATTTGTTTAGCCAAAGTTGGCATTGCTTAGCAGCTGAATGTGTGCCAGGCAGTCCGTCAATCATCACACATATTCAGCTTGTACTCCCCTATGAAGACGATGGCACCTCTGTCCCTATAACCAAAATACAGTAGTTCAAGCTGCCTGTCACTACAACTGCCAAGGAGCAGACACAGGCATTGAATCTTTAAGCTACACTGTATTCAGAGAGCCAGAGATCTGGGAAGATGGCAGTTGGCCCCCAGGTCGTCTTCTCTGCGTCGCCCCCAGCTGGCATGTTTTATAGAGAATCAGAGCAAAGGCAGTAAGTCACCACAATCCAGCCTTGCCCCCTCTGGCCAGGGGTTAGCCTTGTCTCTGAGATTTGGGGGGTCTGTGCTCTTCTTCCCTATCACCTCCTGCACTTCACCTTCATTATCGTCTGAGTCGCCAGGTTCACATATTCACAAGGCCACTGCATCCCACGTCCCACGATCCTCCCAAAGCATGAGCCAAATCACAGATTAATGAAGAGCAAATAGTGGGGTGTGTGCTCTGAGCTTTCCCCAGTGTGTGCACAGAGCTTTCCCCAGTGTGTGCACAGAGCTTTCCCCAGTGTGTGCACTGAGCTTTCCCCAGTGTGTGCTCTGAGCTTTCCCCAGTGTGTGCTCTGAGCTTTCCCCAGTGTGCACTGAGCTTTCCGCAGTGTGTGCACTGAGCTTTCCCCAGTGTGTGCTCTGAGCTTTCCCCAGTGTGTGCTCTGAGCTTTCCCCAGTGTGTGCACAGAGCTTTCCCCAGTGTGCACTGAGATTTCCCCATTGTGTGCACTGAGCTTTCCCCAGTGTGTGCACTGAGCTTGCCCCATGTGTGCACTGAGCTTGCCCCAGTGGGCACGTGCAGTTTGTTTTTTAATATGACGCACAAACGTGCATTTGGTATAGAGTAAAAGTGCCCTTCTCTTCCCTCCTGTCCCTTCTCACCCCCACCACACTGATGATAGGGAAGTTAGCACTCTCAGGACCATGACCATGCAGCCTCTTCCCACAGCACCTACTCCCTCACTGTTCTGTGAGCTGAGGAGCGCTCTCCTGTGGTCTTGATGTAGTGGTCAGGAGTGGTCAGTGTCTGGGTGGGTTCACATGAGCCAGGGTCCTTACTGCTGTTATTTCATTCCCAATGTAAGAATCCGCAGTTGTTGCAAATGAGTAACCATTGATCCAGTCCACCAAGTGAGGAAGCCAGAGCTCTGGGATTTGGAGGCGCTGACTCGGGGTTTTCCCCATTGCTGGGCCTGCTCCTAAACTGACAAGTAGCCAGTCACCTATCCCATGGGGCCAGATGCTCCTAATATATGTGCTTGGGATACAAACTCAAATATCCAGCCTGTATTGTTACTCTCAAGTGACTTCAGTCTCTGTTCCTTGAGTTTGAATTTTGTTTGTTGTTGGTTTTTGTTTTTACCTGGCAGGGCTGTTCTCAGGGAAGGCAACAGGGAATGGTCCCACAGCTGAGCCTGATTCAAGTGGCAAGTCCAAGGCCCTTTCTCGGAATACCATGCAATGAATGAGATTCTTACTTTGTAACTTGCTTCCTGCCTTCCTGTCTCTAATTTCTTCTTTAGGAAGGACCTCCCTAAACGTTAGAAACTGGGGTGAATTCAGCCCCTCATGAGAATCTAAGGCAGGAAAGGAATTTTGGATCCCCTCCTGTTCTAGTGAAAAAGTAGCTAGTGATGACCATGTCACAAGCGGCTGACTTGGGTGCTTTGGGGCTATGAAGATAGAAGTCACAGTGAAGCAAGAACGGTTTTCTAGGGTTGGCGCTCCATGCTTCTGAGGCCTGCGCACCAGGTTTTCAAACCTCACCGCTCACTTGTAACTCGAGGCCCTGAGAACTAGAGACTTGGCTCCAAGCATCCAAAGCTGCTTATCGCTCTCCAAGCCCAGTTCGAAACAAGCTTTGGACCTTTGGCACTGCAGCTCCTAAGCTTTGAGTGCAGGACCTTTGACTTAACCGTCTCTGGGGCTATTATGTTACCAGTCAGCTGCCTGGGGTCCTTCTGCTCACCCAGACAGAAATGATGAATGAGTGGGGAATTCTGCGAGCAGTAGTGCTCTTAGGCAGCTTTTGTGTCCCTAGGTGGTTGACAACAGACGGGAGTGGGAACAGGTGGCGCCCTCTACTGTAACTCCACCCAGGCTCTGAGTGGCACACAGAACCCTTAGCTATACAAGCCTGACAGCTCTTGTGGAGGCCTTGGAAGCTGGGATTCCTCAGCCCTTGGACACTGCTGGAGAAGATTCTGGGAAGGCCTCGCTGTCAGATTTATCAGCTCTTGACAGCAGTTTGTGTTACTGCTTCTAGGAACAGAGACTTTGGCCCTCCAGGCTTATGCCCCATGACCCAGGGCCTGCACCTTCTATTCTCTGGCTCTTTAGAGTCGTCTGTCCACCTTCAGCCTCGGCTCTGCATCCTATCCACTTCTACCATCCCCCATGTTCCAGCCCTGGCTGCTCCGGAGCAGTCGTCCTCAGCTGTCAAGTAGCTAGCCACCAGGCCGCTTCTGCAGCTGGGCCCGCCAACTTCTCCTCTGTCACCACTGCCCCCTGCTGCCTCTTTCTTCCTGTTACCAGCTCTTGAGACAGTGCTTGAGAGAAGTCTGTTGTTGGGCCTAAAGCTGTTTAACACAAGAGGAGGTCAGAACAGTGACTCCCAGCCTACTGCCTGGGAGCCAAAGAGCCGGCTGGTGGAGCCAGAGAAGGGATTTGCACCAACCACAGCACACCTCACATGCAAATGAAAGTTCATGTTTGCACCAATCACAGCAATGTCTCCCACCCCACTACTAACCAGGATGGACCCTGCTCAGGTTCTGAGATCAGATGACTTTGGGCGTGTTCAGGGCAGTATGGCCACACACTGCTGGGTCATGCTTAGCATCAGTCGCAGCAGTCCTTCTCGGCCACAACAAGACGGCCCTTCCCCTCTGGCCTGGGTGGAAACAGTTGCAGAGTCGTCTAAGTTCACAGAGGCTTGTGATGGCAAATGTCTTGTATAAACCGTTTCCATCAGTCCTGGCTGAGGATGTGCCCTTCAGGAGCCCAGGATCCAGGATCCTTGTGTGGTTTTCTCATAACATCTATGCAATGTTCAAAATCACAGGTACTGGTCTAAGGTAGTCCATCCGGCTGATTGACAGGTAGCCCTGTTGGTCAAGTCAGCCAGGGCAGCAAGACAGTTCAACAGGGATCAAACTGCCTGTAACCAGCTATCTTTGCTTGTTTACAGGGAAACAAATGGTAGAGGATATACTTATACAAAGAACTTAAAGTTCTTATCATTAAACTAATAGTGAGTTTTACAGACTTTTAACAATTCTTGGGACTTGCCCAGTGCCCTAGAGAGAGGTGTCCCCCCGATCTGTACCCTCTTCCATGAAATGCCTGTCCAGCCGTTCTGTATGGGTTAGATGCTGAACTGAAAGTCCTGTAGTCTGTGCAGCTCACTGGAAATGGTCCTGTGGTATATTAGCAGGAGCAAACCAGAGCCAAGGGAGGTTCTGGGACCAGAGCGCTCATTCCTCAGGGAAGGCCACTCCCCAGGGAAGGCCACTCAGGGAAGGCCACTCCTCAGGGAAGGCCGCTCCTCAGGGAAGGCCACTCAGGGAAGTCCACTCCTCAGGGAAGGCCGCTCCTCAGGGAAGGCCACTCAGGGAAGGCCACTCCTCAGGGAAGGCCGCTCAGGGATGGCCACTCCTCAGGGAAGGCCGCTCGGGGAAGGCCACTCCTCAGGGAAGGCCGCTCCTCAGGGAAGGCCACTCCTCAGGGAAGGCCACTCCTCAGGGAAGTCCACTCAGGGAAGGCCACTCCTCAGGGAAGGCAACTCCTCAGGGAAGGCCACTCGGGGAAGGCCACTCCTCAGGGAAGGCCGCTCAGGGAAGGCCACTCCTCAGGGAAGGCCGCTCCTCAGGGAAGGCCGCTCCTTAGGGAAGGCCACTCAGGGAAGGCCGCTCCTCAGGGAAGGCCGCTCCTTAGGGAAGGCCACTCAGGGAAGGCCGCTCCTCAGGGAAGGCCGCTCCTTAGGGAAGGCCACTCAGGGAAGGCCGCTCCTCAGGGAAGGCCGCTCCTTAGGGAAGGCCACTCAGGGAAGGCCACTCCTCAGGGAAGGCCGCTCCTTAGGGAAGGCCACTCAGGGAAGGCCGCTCCTCAGGGAAGGCCGCTCCTTAGGGAAGGCCACTCAGGGAAGGCCGCTCCTCAGGGAAGGCCGCTCCTTAGGGAAGGCCACTCAGGGAAGGCCGCTCCTCAGGGAAGGCCGCTCCTTAGGGAAGGCCACTCAGGGAAGGCCGCTCCTCAGGGAAGGCCGCTCCTCAGGGAAGGCCGCTCCTCAGGGAAGGCTGCTCAGGGAAGGCTGCTCTCTCACTGCCATGTGTCTTTTCCTCAGGCATCGCACTCAGTGCCCTCCCCATGTACCTCAACGAGATCTCACCCAAAGAGATCCGTGGCTCTCTGGGTCAGGTGACCGCCATCTTCATCTGCATTGGCGTGTTTGTTGGGCAGCTGCTGGGCCTACCTGAACTGCTGGGAAGGGTAAGTGTGGCCTCCTGGCCAGCCACAGCTGGTCTTACCCCACTGTTACCCCTGACAAGGACCCCTTCCTCAGAAAGGTCATCCCAAAGGTGGTGAATCCTAAGGGTTCCAGTGCTTTCTATATTCATGGAGAAAAGTTGCGGGTGCCTTTTATTTTCTTAGGCTGTGATTGCTACATGATATATCCAACCCTACAGAGTGCTTAAGTCCACCTCTCCAGTGAGCGCTGTTGACAGCTCAATTTGTTTGCGTGGCTTGCTCTCTGTTTTAGAAATAATGAAAGCATGCATGTTTGGCTATACGTGTGCTGTTGTTTTCATAGAATCATGTTGCATGCCTGGTTCTGGAGCTTGCCATCTTCATTTCACACGTTCTAGGCATCTTTTCAAGATCTTTAAAAAATTTTATTTATTTATTTTTATGTGTTTTGCCTGCATGTATGTAAGTGTACCAAATGTGCACAATGCCCACAGAGGCCAGAAGAGGGTGTCAGATCCCCTGGAACGGAAGTTACAGTTGGGTGTGAGCTGCCCTATGGGTGCTGGGAACTGAGCCCAGGTCCCCTGGAAGAGCAGACAGTGCTCTTAACCACTGAGCCATCTCTCCAGCCCCCTTTCCAGGATCTTAACCACCTGTACCTCTCTCTTGAGTCTTTCTTGTTTCTTCTGATTTACTTCTCTGGCCGAGGAGCAGGGCCCTGGATTAGACTCCCAGCTCACCAGCGTTCTTGCTGGATGTGCTTGGCATAGAGGTGTGTTCATAGGTTTGGGGCAGGGGAAGTTCGAGGAGGTTTCCCAGATGAATCCTCTGACTTGAGCCCTTCAGGGCTTAGGTAGGTGGTGATGGGGACCAGGAGAGAAGGCATCCTTGAGAAAGGACAGCTGTCAGAAAAGGTCCCAGAACAGAGCAGAGCCTTCATCAGTAACTGGGAGGGCTGGGGGCCAAGGAGAGGGCAAGCTGAGGAGCACTTAGGAGAGGATGAGGTGAAGCCCAGAAGACTTCAACCTGGGGGAGAAGGAAGTCCCAGAGTACACAGCAGTCCAGCAGTGTGGCCAGAGTCCTGCTCTGAGGAGGTGAAGGAAAGAGAATGGGCTGGACTGGGAAGGGTGGAATGGGCAGGAGGCCGTGGCTGCTGGTACATATGACCAGGGCCAGCCGTGACCATGGGGTTAGGGAGAATGTGGGTCATGACCAGGAAGGAGGTGGGTCCCAAGGACCCACGCTTGCGGTGGGTGAGGATGACTGACAAGAGGACCTTGGTTCCAGTGCCTCCTGCAGGGACAGAGGCCTCTCCTTGCCGCCTGTGGGGTGACTGCAGGAAGGAGGAGGACAGGGAGCCACAGGAAGTGCTCATGACCAGCACATGCCGAAGGCTGTTCTGGATGATTGCGAGATATCCATGGACAACAGCTCTTAGCATCTGGATTTAAACAGTAGGAGGCAGACAACAGGAAGAGTGTACCAGGGAGCAAGCAAGGGCTCAGGGCAAACCCTGCTTTATTGAGCCACTCAAGTTCTGGCAGGGCCTCCTGCCTGGTCTTCCCACAGCTCAGAGAGAGCTGGAGAGGTGGCTCAAGGGCAAAAGGAATTCGCGCCTCAGTGGTCGAACCCACCTGCTGGGCATGGTTTACCCAGCCATGAGCCTGGGGCTGGTTCTCAGGGATGTACAAGCTTAGAAAGATGGGGCTTTCTCCCATCTCACTCCGTGGAGGTCTGTAAGTTGCATAATCAAGCATGGTGTTCACATATGGGAGGATGAGGCCTGTTGGCTGCTTTAGGTTACATTGTTGACATTTTTAAATATTTTGATCATTTTATCATGTTAAAGCACACATAAGATAGAATTTACCATTATGACCATTTTTAAATGTATATTTACAAATATGTAATTTTATCTATTGTTAGTGTGTATGAGAGAGAGGACAACTTTCAGGACCAATTCTCTCCCTCCACTGTGGGTTTTAAACGGAAGGCTTACATGGCAAGTGCTTTTGCCCGCTGAGCCATCCTCCTACCTTTGAACGTACATTTCAGTAGGACATGTTGCGTCTTAGCTGGTCCAGCAGAGCCGCCTGATTCTTGTCTCTCCTCATGGACGTCTGGAACCCCTGTGGCTGCACTTTTGTTTGCCCCTTCTAGAAAACAGAAAAAAATCCATGCTCCACACTTACAGCTGTCTCATGCCTACCAATTTCCCTAATGAGTGTCAGCATGTTGGGAACATGTGTCTGCCAGAGTAAGGTTTCACTTATAAAGGACATATTTGCTTTTTGTGTTTCAAGATAGTTTAAATTCCAAAAATGAGCATTTGTGGGTAATAATAAAAACAATCTAACAAATATAGCCTGAGTTCTTAAAGCACAAAAATGTATATTAAAGCCATTCAATAGTATCTTTGTCCTCCAAGGATTAAAATAAGACTCCTCCTGGAGTCTAAATTTCTGGTCACCCATCAGCTCCTTTTCGGATGTCAAAGTTTTCTGTTACACCCCAGGCCATTCTTGAACCTCTGTCTTCATTCCTTCAATACGTTGTTAAATAGAGTCGGATGCCGGAGCTACAACATTGAGTGTTTCAGATACAGCCTCATCTTCATGATGCTCACAGATCGTAAGGGCGGTGTGGCCTTGGGCCGCTCACCCCTTACCCCGCACCTCTTCCTCGGTCACGGACATGGTCCAGTGTCCCAAGTTCCCACGTCCTGATGAAGCACAATTTCTTCTGGGAACAGGTCACTGGCAAACGTGTCCTCGGCACCTCGTGCACAGGTCTCTCCTGAGCTGTGGTCCTGTTTGCGTCTGCATCTCCTCCTAGCCTCAGAGTGAATCTTGCCGATGTCTGTATCCTGAGTCCAGAGCTGTCCAGTTTATCCACTCCTTCAGCAGTTGTCTACAAAGTCCAGCTGCTGTGTACCAGGTGCTGGGCTGGTAGCAGCTGCTGAAGCAGTGGGGTAGCCAGACTAGACTCCACCTTCACCGAAACCACAGGAAGCCAATCAGGCATGGTTCCCAGGTGATGGAAGAGACGGATACTGATCCTGCTGGGAACAGAATGGTTTCCCTGCAGAAGTGATGTGTAAATGCATGTCTCAAGGATAAATAGGATTTGTTAGGCTGGGACTGGTGAGGAGAGAGGGAAGGAAGTGAAGGAGATGCTGTTGCCACAGAGAGAACAGTCCAGAGAAGCCCCCAGCATGCGCTTAGAGGCAGAAAATCCAGGTGGCACATCCCAGCCTGCAGGGCTCCCTCTGCTCAGGCCTCACCAACCCTGCCTTGTCATTTTGATCATGGTCATTCTAACAGGTGAAGTGAAACCCCTTTGTGCTGCTTTGCTTTGCATTTCCCTAATGATCAGTGGTGTTTAGCTCCTCTTTATATACCTGTTAGCTATCCGTATGTCTTCTTCAGACAAAGAAGAGGGAGGCCGGGAGACGTGGGTAGGTAGGCAGTTTCCTGGCCAAGAGGGCAGCACCTGTCTTGCAGAGAAGCTCAAGGAAGGGTGGGAAAGATGAGGGGTCCTGGGAGCCTCTGAGGTTTATGTGGAAACATACCCATTACATCTCTGGTGGCCCCATTCTCTTCTCGGTATCCACTGCCATCCTCTCTCAATTTGACTCTCAATTTTAAAGCATTCTTACATTCTACATATGGGCTAGCCTTTTGTCACACGGTAAATATAGGAGATACAACGAGGAAGGGTTTGTTTGGGCCTGAGGTGAGGTAGATCATGGAGGAGGAGGATAAGGCAGAGGCTGTTCACCTCATGGCAGCCAGAAAGGAGGAAGGAGTGGAGGGAGGGAGGATGGAGGAGGGAGGGAGGGAGGCATGTTGTATGTGGTGTGTGTGCTCTGTATGTTATGTGTGTGCTGTGTGTGTTGTATGTGGTGTGTGTGCTCTGTATGTTATGTGTGTGCTGTGTGTGTTGTATGTGGTGTGTGTGCTCTGTATGTTATGTGTGTGCTGTGTGTGTTGTATGTGGTGTGTGTGCTCTGTATGTTATGTGTGTGCTGTGTGTGTTGTATGTGGTGTGTGTGCTCTGTATGTTATGTGTGTGCTGTGTGTGTTGTATGTGGTGTGTGTGCTCTGTATGTTATGTGTGTGCTGTGTGTGTTGTATGTGGTGTGTGTGCTCTGTATGTTATGTGTGTGCTGTGTGTGTTGTATGTGGTGTGTGTGCTCTGTATGTTATGTGTGTGCTGTGTGTGTTGTATGTGGTGTGTGTGCTCTGTATGTTATGTGTGTGCTGTGTGTGTTGTATGTGGTGTGTGTGCTCTGTATGTTATGTGTGTGCTGTGTGTGTTGTATGTGGTGTGTGTGCTCTGTATGTTATGTGTGTGCTGTGTGTGTTGTATGTGGTGTGTGTGCTCTGTATGTTATGTGTGTGCTGTGTGTGTTGTATGTGGTGTGTGTGCTCTGTATGTTATGTGTGTGCTGTGTGTGTTGTATGTGGTGTGTGTGCTCTGTATGTTATGTGTGTGCTGTGTGTGTTGTATGTGGTGTGTGTGCTCTGTATGTTATGTGTGTGCTGTGTGTGTTGTATGTGGTGTGTGTGCTCTGTATGTTATGTGTGTGCTGTGTGTGTTGTATGTGGTGTGTGTGCTCTGTATGTTATGTGTGTGCTGTGTGTGTTGTATGTGGTGTGTGTGCTCTGTATGTTATGTGTGTGCTGTGTGTGTTGTATGTGGTGTGTGTGCTCTGTATGTTATGTGTGTGCTGTGTGTGTTGTATGTGGTGTGTGTGCTCTGTATGTTATGTGTGTGCTGTGTGTGTTGTATGTGGTGTGTGTGCTCTGTATGTTATGTGTGTGCTGTGTGTGTTGTATGTGGTGTGTGTGCTCTGTATGTTATGTGTGTGCTGTGTGTGTTGGTGTGGTGTGTGTGCTCTGTATGTTATGTGTGTGCTGCGTGTGTTGTATGTGGTGTGTGTGCTCTGTATGTTATGTGTGTGCTGTGTGTGTTGTATGTGGTGTGTGTGCTCTGTATGTTATGTGTGTGCTGTGTGT